CTTGCAGAAGAAGGCTGGAAGCAGAAACCCAACCTCAACGCCATCCGCTCTCTGGAAGCTGTGATCCGAGTACACAGTGAGTTCTGGGCCCAACTTGGGGACCAACATCAGGGGCTCACTGGTCCTCAGCGGGTAGAGGCTAGCTGCTAAGTTTGCAATCAGATCCCATGAGTCACCCCAGCAGTAATGATGAACCAGTCCCATCCCAAAGTGTAACCTCTGAGCTTTCCAGATGGTCCCATAAGACAGTGGGCCTCCTTGATGCAAGAACTGGAGGCAGGTCTTGATATTCAGGCCTTTTGGCAAACAAGGACTGCTTTGAGTCTCTCCCTTCAGGACTGGTCCCAGGCAGCGCTGTGCTTACAGCAGGGCTGTGTCTTAGAATACCCCACTGAAAAAGAGTCCACGTTTGGGGCAGGTGTTGGAGGCTCACACTTGTAATCCTAGCTACTCAGGAGGCTGTACTCTGAGGATTATGTTTTGAAGCCAGGGAAAGGAAAGTTGATGAGACTCTTATCTCCAATTAACCACCAGGAAGCGAGAAATGGTGTTGTGATTCAAAGTGGTAGAGCACTAGCCTTGAGCAAAAGAGCTTAGGGATAGCACCCAGGCCCTGAGTTCAAGCCCCATGATCAAAAGAAGAGCCCACATTTGGAAAGCACTTTGAAATTTCAACTTGAACTTAGTATTTGTTGTATGCTCTATGTAAAGTCTGGTGATATATTCTAGAGATACGGAAAGAAAGTAGGTCACTCTATCAAGTGCATGTGACCAACTAGACCTATATAGGATGTTCCCATGGTCCAGATGAGCTATGTGGATAAGCCTTCTACCTCCTCTTTCTTTCTTCTATTTAGTTATTTTGTGGTGCTGGGGATCAGCTTACGGGCAAGCACTCTACCACTGAGCTATACGCTCAACCCTTGTTATTGCTGTTGGTTGTGGTGATTTCTAGAATGTGAACTCTGTGAACTCAGGACCCCAAGCTTGCTAGACAAGGGCTCTACCACTTTAGCTATATCTTCAGTCTAGACTTAGAGCTTGACCTCAGGGCCTGGGCTTTTTTTTTTTCCCTCAAGGCTAGTGTTCTACCACTTTGAGCTACAACTCTACTTCCAGATGGTTAATTATAGTTAAGAGTCTCATAGGCTTTCCTGCCTTGGCTGGCTTTAAACCGCTATCCTCAGATCTCAGTCTCCTGAGTAGTTAGGATTACAGGAGTGGGATGCCAGCACCCAGCTCCAGTTCAGGTTTTTTTGTTTTGGGTGTTGGTACTGAGCTTGAACTCAGGGCCTGGGTGCTGTCTCTTAGTTTTTTCTTTTCTTTCTTTTTATCTCCCTTCTTCCTTCCTTCCTTCCTTCCTTCCTTTCTCTCTTTCTTTCTCTCAATCCTTCCTTCCTTCCTTTCCTCCTTCCTTTTTTTCTTTTCTTTTCTTTTTTTCTTTTCTCTTCTTTTTGTGCCAGTCCTGGGGCTTGAACTCAGAGCCAGGGCACTAACCCTCAGCTTTTTTTGCTCAAGCCACAGCTACACTTCCAGTTGTTGCTATATCTGGTAGTTAACTAGAGATAAGAGTCTCTCATACTTTCTTGCCTGGGCTGGCTTTGAACCCCTATCCTCAGGTCTCAGCCTCCTGAGTAGCTAGAATTACAGGCATGAGCCACCGTTGCCCAGCTGGTCCCTTAGCTTTTTTGCTCAAGGCTGGCACTCCACCACTTAATCCAATCTTCACTTCCAGCTGTTTGCTGGTTAATTAGAGATAAGAGTCACATGGACTTTCCTGCCCCAGGCTGGCTTCAAACCATGATTTTAAGATCTAAGCCTTCTGAGTAGTTAGGATCACAAGCATGAATCACCAACATCTAGCCAGTTGTTTTCATTCTATTTTTTTGAGACAGGATCTAATTTTTTTGGGGGAGTGGGGGGTCTGGTCCTGGGGCCCTGAACTCTGGGCCTGGGCGCTGTCCCTCAGCTCTTCAGCTCAAGGCTAGCTTGCTACCACTTGAGCCATAGCACCACTTCCGGCTTTTTTTTTTCTGCTTATGTGGTGCTGAGGAATCGAACCCAGGGCCTCATGCATGCAAGGCAAGCACTCTACCACTGAGCCACCTTCCCAGCCCCACAGGATCTCATTTTATTACTCTGCCTGGCTTCATACTCAATATGTAGCCCAGGTTGGCCTCTAACTTTAGATCTTCCTGCCTCAGCCTCCCAAATGCTAGGATTATAGGCATGTACAACCACACCTAGCTCACATGTGAGGATCACGTGAGTGAGACCTTGTGCTCCAGGAGGCCAGGGCTCAGGAATGTGTGAGCAAATTTGATCCAGACTCAGTGCAGGGCAAAGAGGCCCCCTGGTCCTCACATCCCCACACTTATGGGAGTGGCTCGAGGTAGTCTTTCAAGCAGATGAGACAGCAGAATGGACGAGCATCCCCCACTCCCCAGCACTACAATGTCAAACCTGTTCTGCCAGCTGTTCAGGGCTGTAGGCAGGGAGGGGCAGGCTAGGAGAGGGTGCACTGAGGAGAGCTGACCCCAAGCGTAGGGCACGCCCACTGTTCTTGGACTCTGGGCCTGAATCTCCAGCCTCAGTATCCGGTGTAGGATGCAGGGTCAAAGGATTTGTTTTTTTTTCTAACCTTTCTGACCTGGCTTCTTACCCTAGGTAAATACTGGGGTTGCATGCAGCGCTTGGCTTCCTGTCCAGATTCCTGGTGGCCCAGGGTACCAGGGGCTGATGCAGAAGTGGAGGCCGTGACCGCACTGGCTTCCCTCTCCGTGGGCATCCTGACTGAAGACAGGTAATGCCAGAGGTACAGCCTTGAGGGTCCACAAGCTCCCCAACCTCTCATATTCTCCTGACTTGAAGATCCCGGAGCCTGACTCTGTGCAACCATACTAGTTCTCTCAGGCTTCCTAACCAGGAGTGTGGGGGTAACCCCACTAAGACCCCGTGTGAAGCTTCTGGTCCACCAGCATCCTACCCTTGTGCGTCCTCCAGGCCCTCAGAGCAGCTGGTGGAAGAGGAAGAACCGATGAATCTCTAGGCTTCAGAGTCATCAGCCTTCTCTTTGGACTCGGCTCTCTTCACCTCTGCTACCAGCCCTGTTTCCTGGTCTTCAGAGATCTTGCGGGCAGGTAGTCAGGACCAGAGACCAGCCTGCCTTACAGTCACCCAGGGAGCTGGAGGAGGCCCCTAGCTCTGGGATGGGGGTCAGAAAGGACCCTGAGAGGAGGCAGGCTGGGCAACAGGCCCCAGCAGAGTGTCCCCTTCCATGTGGAGGCCTCTAGCTGTGGCCTCCATCCCTCAGAACTGCACTGAGGACTGGCTCAGGTGGGCTCACCTTTAACCACTATTCTTGGCTCTGCAGACCCTAGACTTTGCACACAGCCCCAGGCTCCACGCAGAAATGTGAACTTGGCCCTTCCTGGGTTTGGGGGGAGACTGGGGGAGCAGAGGAGGAGCCAAGGGATCCCCGGAGTGCCAGGGGAGTTCCTCCTGTCACCTGTTTCCTCGAATGCCTCTAGAAGCTTTCCTGCACCAATGGGCTCTGAGCCGCTCTGTCACTGTGAGAACAGTCACCTGCAGGCCTCCGATCTGGTCACTGCCCTGCTGGGGACCCCCCCTTTGTGGACCATCTCAGTGCCCTGGTGTAGACAGGTGCTTCCTGACCCCATGGTGCCAAACCTTCATCTCCCCCCCCCCTCAGAAGCACAGCATGACCCTCCCCCCAGGGGGAATCCCTGGTCACTGTCTATCCCCCCCTCCATGAGCCTTCTGTTTTCTGGGGTCTCCCCCACCCCAGCTCTGACTTTTGTCCCACATAGGACTAGCATGGCTGAGAGGAAGAGGGTGGGTGAGTAGACACAGATGTGGGGGAGGGGAGGCTGTCCCCTCAGTCTTTAAGGCTTTTGGAGTCCAGAACCTGGGGCTAAGAAGAGTGTGTGTGTGTGTGTGTGTGTGTGTGTGTGTGTGTGTGTGTGTGCGCGCGCGCGAATGTGTGTGAGAATGTATGTGTGTGTGTGTGTGTAACTCCCTCAGGACCCACAATACCCTGTGTACGTATGCATGTTTTTGTAAAAAAGAAAAAAGTGGAAAAAATCTGAACAATAAATGTTTTATTTGCTCTAATGTCTCTGTGAAAGTGTCTGCTGGGTGTGAAGCGGCACCATCCATACAGGGCTGCTTTGCATGACCTGTGCCTTTGGATCAGGGACAAGGCTAGGCGGGGCTCAGCTCTTCCTGTAGCCACTGCTCAGAGTACACCCTTGCCACCCCTGCCCCTGCCTTTCTCTCTAGGAGAGACGAAGGCAGTGATAATAACTGAGCGGCCCAAGGAGGCGGAAGGGAACACAGGGTTTATTCAACCAAGCACCCCAAAGGGTCATGAAATCACCGCACCTGGACTTAAATTCTAGCTGGGAGCCGAGTTCAGTCTCATCACCTCCAGGGGGCCTCTGTGTATCGATAGAAGGTTCTAGAAGTGGACACTGTTTTCTGTTTGCTTTCTGCCTTCCTGTGGCATGGCTTCTTAAGCACGTACTGAGCCAGGAAGAGTGGGTGAGACAAGCTGGGACAAGCACGCCCAGCGTGAGCAGTGAGGCTCCAGTACCTGCCTTGCTGGTTTTGTCTGCCAGGCTTTGCCAGTCTCTCATTCGCATAGTCCTGGATCTGAGCCCTGAGCAGCCTGACAGAGGTGGAGGGAAGAGGGGCTTCAGGTGCTGAATCTTTTGGGGGGTTGTTAGGGTGGTGCTTGTGGGTATCTTAACCCTGGCTGGGCAGAGCAGGGAGTCCAGGAGAGTACTGAGCTAGAGCCATTATATTCCTGGTGCTGAGCAGCTCTAGCGCTGGTAGATAGACCCTACCCCTGCCCTCCAGAGTGCAATTTAGCAAAATGGTTTATTGAGATAGCTTAAGGACTCACCCTTCCCTGCCCATCATTCCCCACAATTTGCTCCCAAGTTTCCTACTTCCCCAAGAAAACAACCTGAAAGCTGTCTGATACAAATGCCCACTGTATTTCTGCTAAGGTGACAGATAAGGCAGAGCTAGGGGCAGGACAAGTAGAAAAGGAGTAGATGTGCAAAATGGCAGCCTGAAGAAAGAGATGGGGATAACACAGACCATGGAGTTAGGTGAGCCCCAGGGTCGGGGAAGAAAAGCACAAGTTGTCCTTCATGAGGGAAAAGGCTTTTCTTTTTTAAAGATCAAACCTCTAGTTGAAGGGTGGTAAGCTGGGCTGGTGTGTGTCCCCTTCCCTCAAAAGCCTTTTTGGCTGGAATGTACTTGCCATGGTCTTTCGGTTAGCCTCATTTGGAGGGTGCTCAGGTGTGTGGCCTTGTGACACACAGACAGACCGGCCCTAGACCAGATCTGGGTGGAAGGATGGGAGTAGGGACACAGAACTCTCCATTCAACTCTTCTCCCTTGAGGACAGGGCCACAGGTCACCTTTCTGAGACATGACTTTAACTACATGGCCTTTGGGGATAACAGAATGCAAGGGAGGGGGCTGAGAGGCCTCTTAGAGGTTCCTCACTTGACCTGAACACCCCAGCTTCTCACGCCAGCCTCAGTGAGAGTGCCTGGGGCAGCAGGGATCAAACCTGTCCTTAGCCAGAGGTCAAGACTTCAGAGTCTTATCCTCTCTCTCTTCACTCCACTGCTCTGGCCTGACTTACAAAGTGCTGATCAATCCACCGGAATGGATCCAAGCTGCCTTCCAGCTAGGCTGAGGAGCTACTTGTGAGAACCCCCTCCACTACACCAGTCTCCCCCCCCCCATAAGGAGATATATAGACAGTTTCCTCGGAAACTGTAGTGGTCCTCTTGTGTATCTTCTGCCACAGTTCTGGGGTCTCCAGGGCATGGCGGGGAGGGGTAGGCCCACTTGGTGTCTCAGAGGCTGAGTTCAGGTCCTCAGGGCCCCCCAGGCCACAGTGACCTCAGTTCCTGGGTCAGAAATCACTGAGGATGCTGATGTCGGCAAAGTCAGCCCGGTAGCGGTGGGCATAGAGGCTGAGCAGGAAGGCCCACTTGAAGGAAATGAAACTCCACACGCAGGAGAGGTAGTAGCTGCTGGGATCCAGGAGGCCTGCCAAAGGGAAGGGGGCAGTGGTTACTGGAGAGGCCCATCCTTGACCCAAGAGCAGTGCACAAAGCCAGGGCCACCCTCCTGACATAGTACCCCTTCCATCTCCTGGCTGGTGAGGCAGTCTTCCAGAGACTGGAGCAGGATATGAGTTTGAGCATATCCCAGAGTTTGGAGGCTGGAAGTCATGGGAGGCAAGGGAAGGTCAGGGCTGGCCAGACACAGGTCTGTACCATCTACTACCTTTCTGTTTTGTTTGTGCCTATCCTGAGGCTTGCATTCAGGGTCTAGGTGTTGTTCTCGAGCTTTTTTTTGCTAAAGATTGGTGCTTTACCACTTGGGCCACAGTTCTACTTCCAGCTTTTTTGGTGCTTAATTGGAGATGAAAGTCTCACAGACTTTCTTGCCTGGGCTAACTTTGGAACTGTGATGATCTTCAGATCTCAGCCTCCCAAGTAGCTAAGCTTACAGGTGTGAGTCACCAGTGCCCAGCCCCCTCTATCTTTGTGACAAGTACCCCAAGTGACTTCAACTTGCATCAGACTACACAGGGGGTCTGGAGAAGGGCCTCTGGGTACTTCCTGTCATAGCCGCCAGAGGGCACTCTCCTCTCAGAGCTAGGCAGAGACTGAACAATACCAATCATTCTCTGGGGATTGCTGACACAGGCCATGCCCTGTGTCCAGTAGGTCCTACTAAGTCTTATTGCCTATCTTAGGGGGTGGAGACTGATTCTCTATTTTAGCAGTAAGATCAAATGTTTTTTCCAGTTCCTTAAACATAAGCTGGTATGGGGGGGGGGGGGGGGAAGGAGCGGGTGTACAAGAGACTTCAGGGAATGCTTCCTCCTGGCAGCGCCCCTCCCCCATCCCCATGCTCTCACTCTGATGCTGGGTGATGGCCAATGTGAGGAAGGTGCAGAAGGCAGCGACGGAGACAGCTGAGAAGAGAATGCCCACGAAGAAGAAGCCACGAAGCCCCTTGAGCCAGGTCCTCCAGTAATCCTGCAGGTACATCACGTGAGTGACCAGGACCCACAGGGCCAGCACACCTGTGGGAACAGACTTGCTCAGCGGGACGCAGCCACCTCCCACCTACCAGGCTGCGGTCCCCTCTCCTCTCCCTGCCTGAGCCCAGCCGCTGGGGGATCCCAGGTCCACCAGGCCAGACTTGTTTTCATGAAAACATGGAGGAGACTGTCCCTTGTCATTCTACTTCATGACTGCGGAGTGGTGCCTTCCCTGGAGTTTGACCTCAGGACTCAAATGCAGCGCATGAGACTCAAAGCTGCCTTCTAAAAAGCAAGACAAAAGAGATTTGTGAGAACCATGTCCCTCTTCTCCTTAATGTGTGTGTGTGTGTGTGTGTGTGTGTGTGTGTGTGTGTGTGTACATGCCTGCACACTAGTACTGGGGCTTGAACTCAGGGCCTTGCTCAGCTATTTTTTTTTTTTTTGGCTGTGATTGTCTTTACTTTTATTTAACTCCTGGTAGACTGTGAAAACAGATCAATTGGCTTAATTTTGTGATTATTTTTACTTCCCACTTCCTGCTTGATCACACAATTCTTTTGGTTACAATTTTTTTTTTTGCCAGTCCTAGGGCTTGAACTCTGGGCTTGGGCACTGTCCCTGAGCCTCTTTGTGCTCAAGGCTAGCGCTCTACCACTTGAACCACAGCACCACTTCTGGCTTTTTCTGAGTAGTTCATTGGACATAAGAGTCTCAGGATCTTTCCTGCCTGGGCTGGCTGAGACCTGTGATCCTCAGATCTCAGCCTCCTGAGTTTGCTCAACTTTTTCTGCTCAAGGCTGGTTCATGCTCTTATCACTTGAGCTACACCTATATTTCCAGCTTTTGTTTGTCTGATGTTTGTTTGGTGTTTTGGTTGGAGGCTGGTCCTCAAACTCAGTACCTGGCGCTTTCACCCACTGGCTAGCATTCTGCCAACTGAGCCATAGCTCCAACTCCTACTTCCAGTTTCTTTTTGGTGAACTGGATAAGAGTCTCACAGATGTGTCCATCCCAGCTGGCTTCAAACCTCAATCCTCAGATTTCAGCCTTCTGAGTAGCTAGGATTATAGGAATAGCCCACCACTTGGCTCCTAATTGATTTGTGTATTTATTAAACATAAGCATCTTTCCCCAAAATATTACTTTTAATATGGCCTTTAAAATGTTTAAAATGTTCTTGTTTTTAATTTTGAATCTGTCTGTCCGCAGGGACCTCAGCCTTTCAAGTTTTGAGGCCTGTGGCTGAGCTCTGGCAGCAGAGCTCTTCCCAAATTCTGGATTGCTCTTCAGGATGAGGAAGCCCAGCCCTAGCCCTCCCAGGACCACCCAGCACCAAGTGACCTTCTTGCTCTTTGCTACATGTTAGACCCTTCCCTCTAGCTGGCAGCAAAGGGCAAGCCAGCATCCCCAGCATCCTCTGGGCCTGGTGGGTACTTGCTCAGGCTAACAGCTGCTCTCTGCCAGTACAATAGGACAGAATTCAACTCTTGGTGCCTGGCAGTGCCTGCTCACATAGCTCAAGCAGTGGAACAAATACCAGGCCCATTGGCAAGGGCTGGAGCAGGGGCCATGGGGAAGAACAAGCAGAAAAGAGGCAGAGGCAGCTGCAGGCTCTTGGCTGCAAAGCCTGGGTTCTTGATGCTTTAAGCTGCCACAATCCAGGGGGCAAGGGGACTTTCCAAAAAGAGCTGCTGCATCTACCACGTGCACAGGAGCCTTTTACCATGCCAGCAAGGGCACACATCTGGCTGGAAGAAAAGTTAAGTATTGAAAGTGGGGGAGGCTAGTGAAGGTCATCTATAACATTTTATTTCTTAGGCCCAGTGATAAACCTTCCATATTAAATTATCTATCCACCAGGTTCTGATGGCTCACACCTGTAATCCTGGCTCCTCAGGAGGCTGAGATCTGAACATCTCGGTTCAAAGCTAGACTTGGAGCTGTGGCTCAAGAGGCAGAACACTAGCCTTGAGCAAAAAAAAAAAAAAAGCTCGGGGATAGCAGCAAGACCCTGAGTTTATGCCTCAGTACTGCACTAACTAGTCTATTTTTCATATCTGAAATGGTCACTTTTTTTTTTTAGGAAAAAGAGGAGGAAGGAGCTTTGTCACAGTCTAGTGAGGGACAAAACCCCATGAGACTTTAAAGCTAGAAAATCTGGAGCCCAGCACTGCTGTGGAGCCCTTGGTGTTTCTACATCTAAAAATAGAGGTGAGGAGGCTGAGGTCCTGCTAGCCTGAATAACCAGGAAACCTACAGTAGGGAAGAGGCCCACCGACTCCACAGTGGGTGTCCTTACCCACTCTGTGACCTCCCCCCACCCCCATCTTGATACTTGTCCATCTTCAACCTTCCTTTGGGATTGAGGGTCTGGAACGTAGACTTCCCGAGATCAGGGTGGGCCAAGACAAAGCATACCTCCAACTCTGCCTGGCCAGGACACTGAAGCAAGACACCAGGTGGACAGAATAATAAACCCACAGCTTCTGCTTTGTCTGGTGTGATCTGGATTTTGTGCCAGCCACTTTCCTCAGAAGTTTTTCCAGCTTCCTCCCCAGGCATTGTAAGTTTTCATTTGGGGGTGCTGTTTAGTTTCTTTTGAGGGGGGAAATAATGCTGAGGGTTGAAGCTGGGGACCTAGCACGTGGCTGGGTTTAACACTGAGCTTTAGCACTGAGCTATACCTCCAGACCCCTTCTTGATTTCTTGTCTTCCTTTTTTTTCCCTTTGTGTGTGTGTGTGTGTGTGTGTGTGTGTGTGTGTGTGTGTGTGTGTGTGCGTGCACGCTAATCCTGAGGCTTGAACTCAAGGCTTGAGCACTGTCACTGAGCTTTTTTTGTTTTTGATCAAGGCTACCCCTTCTTCTACATGGATTCTCCCCCACATCCTCGCCCACCACACACACTTCTGGATTTTTTTTGAAGGTTAATTGTAGATAAGAGTCTCATAGACTTTCTTGCCTTGGCTGGCTTTGAACCATGATCCTCAGCTCTCTGCCTCCTGAGTAGCTAGGATTATAGGCTTGAGCCAAGGGTGTAGGCTCTCCCTGCTTGATTTCCTAACAGGCCCTTATCATAGGCAGTCAGGAGACAGAGAGGGACACCTGTTGGTGACAGGTCCACTCACTCTCTCTCTCTCTTCATGCCACGTGGGGATTGGAGTTGAGCTCTAAAATCCTTTCCCACTTGAAGATTCTAGAAGCCAGCTTAGGAGAAAAATAAGTCCCTCTGTGACTCAGCAGTTTCTGGATTAGGAAATGTTGAAACAGAGCCCCGTGAAGACACCAGCTCAGACCCAGTGTTCATAACCCAGTGGATTCCCCCAAACTTCCATTCCTACATGTACAAATAGGGCTGAGAATAGAAGGAAAAGATCATTTTTTTGGTTTTTTGGTGCTGGTCCTGGGGCTTAAACTCTGGGCTGGGGCACTGTCCCTGAGCTTTTTCGCTCAAGGCAAACATTCTCCCACTTGAGCCACAGCTCTATTTCAGGCTTTTTGGTGAGATTCATGGGAGATAAAAGCCTCACAGACTTTGCTGCCCAGGCTAGCTTGGAACCATAATCCTCAGATCTTAGCCTCCTGAGTAGTTAGGATTACAAGTGTGAGCCACCGGTACCCTGCAAGATGTCTGTTTTGTTCCTTGTTAATGTGCAGATACATTTCCCACCTGTCACCTCCATTCAACCCTGGTCCAGCCGCTGCACACAGGCCTCCTCCAGATAAAGCCAATCCGGAGGCCCACTGCACCTGCCCTGGCTCTCCCAAACTACTGGAGGGAAGGCCAGTCCCTCAAAACCCCCAGATAGTCACTGAGCCCCGCTCTTCCTAGTCCCCTCCCACACCACCAGCAGGAGGCAGTTGGCTCTTCCTTCTGGGGCTTCAGGGAGCCTGGTCTGCACAAACTGGTATAGAATAGGCAGGTCCGAAGCCCTACCTGGCTGCAGCCATGCCAGACCTTAGTCTGGCTCCAGCCACCTGCCCTCTGGACCCACAGCGTCGGTCAGTGGAAATGCCAGCATTGGGTTTGGGTGAAGCCAGGAAGTCCCCAGAGTAGCCCACAAGGGAAAAGCAGACAGAGAGGACATGTCCTGAGTCAGGGCCCTAATACGTATGCACCCCAGTCCTCTCTCTCTTCTTACAGCTGGGGGTAAGAATGGCTGGGGGGTACAGGGAAATGGATGGACCTAGAACAAGGGAGGTAAGTCAAGCTCAGAGAGACAACCAGCATATGTTTTCTCTCCTATGCAGAAGCTAGAACTAAAATACAGTGCAACACAATAAATCGTACAGGACTCTAGGCATTCATGGTGAGACCAAAGGAGGATTTTTTTAGGGGAAGAACACAAAGGCACAATGCCTATGTCCCGCTGATCATATAAAATATTTATTGAAATGAACTCTAGGAAATGGAAACGTGACTTTTTTTCTTTGCTGCTGTTTTCTTTCTTTTTTGTTCTTGTTTATCTGTCTTTGGGAAGGTAAAGGAGGGGAGGATATAGAAATGGAGGAACAGCTGAGTACCGGTGGCTCATGTCTGTAATTCTAGCTACTCAGGAGGCTGAGATCTGAGAATCACAGTTTGAAGCCAGCCTGGGCAGGAAAGTCTATGAGGCTCATCTCTAATTAATCACAAAAAAAAGCCAGAAGCAGTGCTGTGGCTCAAGTGGTGGAGTATTAGCCTTGAACTAAAGGAGCTTAAGGTTATACCCAGGCCCAGAGTTCAAGCCCCAGGACCAGCAAAAAAAAAAAAAGAGGGAAAAGGGATGAACAGCAGTGGTACCCACTAAATATTATGTTGAAAATGACACAACTTGTGGGTGGAGGGGACAGGAAGGGGAAACTGGGAGTGAGGGAAGGGGTGACATTATCCAAAAAGAAATGTACTTTACCTGACTCGTGTAATTGTAGCCCTCTGCATGTCATCTTTATAGCAACAGTAAAAAAATTAAAAATTAAAAAAAGGCTAGAGGCACACCAGAGCTCCTCTTCACTCAGGTGGGAAGAACATAGCACTGTTTGGTCTTAGAAGCCAACTTTACTCTTCTCTTTCATTGGTCTTCTAGACCCCCAAAGCAAGATTGTGTTGCACCAGAGTTGGTGGATCCAACGTGGCTTCTCCAGGAAACGCACCTCCCTTCTGCCACTGCTTTTCTGCACACCCACTTCTCCCCAGATGGGATGGGACTGTCGGCCAAGTGCTTTGCCTCCTGGGTTCAGGAGCTTCCTGGGCTAACCCTGCCCAGGGGCCAGCATGTCCAGCCAGTATGCCCACCAGTGCCACGTGGCCCAGCATAGAAGCAGAGCCCCTGGGGTTCCCTTGCAGTGACTCAGCAGCTTCTGGGCTGCAAAATGCAGAGTCAGAAGTAGAGTGCTCACAAGATAGACAACCGCTGACACTGCACCCCAGAAGAGGAAGAAGGCGGGCAGGCTGCAGATTCCTGGGAATTAGACAGGCACACTGGACATCTCAGAACTGGAGAAGAGTTAGAGAACACTCCAGTGGCATCACCGCCCACTCCTTCTGGGAAACTGAGGCCCCAGAGGTACTGAGATGCCTAGGGTCACCTGGTTAGGAAAGACTCACCTCTAACAGGTCCTACCAGTCTCTGAACAGTCACTGAGCTCAAGGATTTCTCACCAGCCCCCACATCCATCCCTCCTATCTGCAGTCCCAGCAACTGTGAACCCCCAAAACAACTTTTTTTTTCTTTTTATGCTGGTCCTGGGGCTTGAACTCAGGACCTGGGCTCTGTCCCTAAGCCTGTCTGTGCTCAAGGCTAGTACTCTACCACTTGAGTTACAATGCCACTACTGGCTTTTTCTGAGTAGTTTATTGGAGATAAGAATCTCACAGAGGGGTTGGGAAAGTGGCTCAGTGGTAGAGCGCTTGCCTTGCATGCATGAGGTCCTGGGTTCAACTCTTCAGCACCCCATAAGCAAAAAGAAAAAAGCCAGAAGTGGCACTGTGTTTCAAGTGGTAGAGCGCTAGCCTTGAGCTGAAGAGCTGAGGGACAGCATCCAGGCTCAAAGTTCAGGCCCCACGACCGGACCCAAAAAAAAAAATAAAAAAGAGTCTCACAGACTTTCCTGCCCGGCCTGGCTTCCCAATATGATCCTCAGATCTCAGTCTCCTGAGTAGCTAAGATTACAGGTATGAGCCACTGATGCCCAGCTAAAAGCAACAGGACCAATAGAAAGTATGGGGAGGGGCAGTCCAGGGAGAAAGGAGCCAAGACTGAGTCCTGTTCCCACAGGTATGCTGGGGCACCCAGGCAGACCTGAGAACTTCCCAGCCAGGAACTCTGCCTGCTCTTTCTTGGTGACCGCCAGCACCTTGCTTGGCATTAGCTTAGGCTAGGGCTATATATGTCTTTCTTATAAGGCACAAAGCCCACCCGATGTTCCTCCACTACCCAAGCAAGGATGGGACAGTGGGTACATGAGTTATTTTTAGTTATCCTAGTTAAGAATCTTTTAGTAATGGAATAAGATCATCATAGGTAAAAGCATTATCTTTGCATGTACTTTCTCCCATACCTTCTTCCCCACGTGCCAATGCTACACAAGTGACTTACTATAAAGCCTTGGTTTTTGTGTCTGGAAACCTAGCATCATAATAATACCTACTCCTAGAACTAATAAAGGGATTAGATGAAATAGTGAAGCTGACTGCTTAACACAGTGGCTGACATAAAAACAAAAAAAACAGTTACATTGGGGGCCTGTGGCTTACACCTGTAATCCTACTTAGGAGCCTGAGATCTGAGAATGATGGTTCAAAGCCAGCCCAGACAGTTCAGTCCAGGAGACCCTTATCTCCAATTAACCACCAAAAAGCTAGAAGTTGAGCTGTGTCTCAAAGTGGGAGAGTCCCAGCTTTGAGTAAAAAAAGAAAAAAACAAAAACAACTCGTGGACAGTGCCCAATCCTGAGTTCAAGCTCTAGGACCAGTGTACACACACACACACACACACACACACACACACACACACACACACACACACACACACACACACACCGAACACAAATCAACTTTTTCCCCTTCACACCAATTTTTTTTTTTTTTGCACAGAGATGAAGACATAAGACCTAAAGTCACCCAGCAAGTACTGAAAGAGCCAGCAGGCGGGCAGCAACGTGGTTGAGAAGTAAATAAGGTCCAGTTAACATCTGATCCTCCTGATCTCGGCTGCGGGGCAGCCAGATGGTCCTACCCTCCCCCCCCCCCCAACCCCTTCCCAGCTCTCTTCCTTCCTTGCTTGTTACCAGGACGCTTGGGCAAGCCTTCCCCCCACCCCCAAACCCCGAAACAAGAGCGTGTTCAGGAGCAGGGGCGCCCAGCAAAGCGGGCGCGCAGAGGACGCAGTGGTGGCAGCAGGGCACACCGGGTAACCCGGGAGGCGGACCAGAGTTGTGCAGAGGGGGGCCACTCGCACCCCCGATCAAGGGACGTCGGGGGTCCCGGAGGGCCTGGACGCCTCCTGGGGCCTGCGCCGCCGCCGCCCCGAGGTGTGGGGATAAACACGCCAGCGGCACTGCGGGGGACGGCGCCGCCGCGGGGAGCCGCGCGCAGCAACGGCCGGCCCCGCGCGCGCCCCGCGCGCCCCGCGCCTACCTGCGAGACCCCCCATCGCCGCAGTCCCCGGCTGTCTGTAGATCACCGTCCAGACGAAGAAGATGGAGAAGCCAGCCGCCGAGCTGATCCCCGCATAGGCGGCGCGGAGGCCGAGCTGCATCCGGGACGGAGCCATGGCGGGAGGGGGGCGCTGCGGGAGCCCGGCGGGCCGAGGACCAGCGGGGACGGGAGTCACAGGTGCAGGGCCCCAGTGCGAGCCGGAGCCCCAGCTCCAGCCCAGCCCAGCCCCAGCCGCTAGCCCCGCCCACACCGCCCCGGCCCGCCCCGACCCCACCCGCGCCGCAGGCACAGCGCCCTCTCCGGCCGGAGGCCGCCGGCGCAGCGAATATGCTGGCATCGTGCCCAGCCATGCCAGGCAATTCAGGCCCCATGGCTTGGGCTGACACCTGGTAGAACTGCGGATTCCTGGGTTTGTCCCCAGGCCGATGCACCTGCCACCTGTGGTGATGGTTTTTTTTTTTTTTTCAATTTAAATTTTCATCTTTGAACAGGAAGTACACTCTCTGGTAAAACTTTATTCTGAAAATTCTCCCTAAGAATTACTACAGAAGCCACGTGTGGGCGGCTCACGCTTATAATCCTAGTTCTAGTTCAACAGGTGGAGATCTGAGAACCACAGTTCCAAGCCTGCTCAGGCAGACAAATCCACAGCACTCTTATCTCCAAGTAACCAACAAAAAATGGAGGTAGAGGCATGGTTCGAGAAGTAGAGCACCCTGAGTTCAAGCCCCAGTACTAGGACACACACACACACACACACACACAGAATTAATACATTAAAAAAAGAGCTGAGGTGAGCCTCAGTGATAGAGCTAAGCTTAGCAAGTAAGAGACCCTGGATTAAATCCCCAGCACCACCAAATAAGAATATTAAGTATATTTATATATCTATATATACACATATATGTATATACTTAGACAAAAGTACTGTATATACATATACATATGCATATGTGTATATATGCATATCCATGTATTGTAAATATAGCATGTATTGTGTAATATTATATGCGACATATATTGTAATATACAGCATATGATTTTAATATATATAGCAAATACTGTAATTCTTTCTATGCCTATCAACCAAGTCTTTTAATTTTAATGTTTTTAGTAACATAAATTAATTTTACAAAGTTTTTCACTGTATGATATTTACATAACCTTTCATACTTTTTTTTTTAAACTGGGATCTGAACTCAGGGTCTCTTGTTTATTAGACTGGCACTCTATCCCTTGAGCTACACTCCATTCTGTTTTGTTTTTTTTTTTACTGGTTACTTTGAAGATAGAGTCTCATGGACTTGCCTGCTTTGAACAGTGATTCCCCCAAATCTCAGCCTCCTGAGTATGGAGAATTATAGGTGTGAGCCATGGGCATTTTCCTCCCTTGGGCTTTCTTTATGTATACTTCAAAAGTTTTCTGTTCATTCTAGTTACTTCCCAACCATAAACACTTTCTCCTCACTGAAATCTCCCTTCCTTTCATCCCCCCAGGTCCCTACCAAATACACCCCAAACTCAAAAGAGACTTGAATCTGTAAGCAGGAATATTTGGAGCTCTGGGCATCCAGCCCCATCTGGGAGCTGGGGAGGAACTCCAAGTATAACATGGGCTGTGCCCACTAGTGGGCAGAATGGGCTTGCGGACACACCTGCAGCAGGCAGGGAACCAATGCTCCTTCTACTCATTTCCTTTTGCTGTTGTAACGATTGACCACAAATTTAAAACAATACACATATAGGTCAGGAGTCCAAACAAAAGTTATTTTAGCTGAAATCAAGGGACTATTATAGTCTAGGAGGAAAACTTGTTCCCTTATCTTCTCAGAGGCTGCTCACAGGCCTTGGCTTGGGGCCCTCTTCCTCTCTCATTTCTCTTATAAGAACATCTGTAATTAGGGAGACTGGTAATTGGGGATAAGGTCCTCATTTCCAGCTCCTTGACTGTATTCCATCAGTGAAAGCCCTTTGCTCAGTAAGGTACTGTATTCATAAGTTATGCAGTTAGGACAATGCACATGGATAGTGCCTATTTTGTCCAATGCCTAGAAGAGTGTCTGGCACATAGAAACATAAATATTTTTTGAAAAGGTAAGTGTGAGCACATTGAGGTAACAAATAAGAATAAAGAGGGTTAGGCACAAGGAACTTAGGCAGTACATGCTGGTTACCAAATGTGTGATGTAAACTATACCTGTCTTGCTTCAAAATAGTCTGAGGGGCTTTAAAAAAAGCTGTGGATGGTTTATGCCTGCAGTCCTAGCTACTCAGAAAGCTGAGATCTGATGATCCTAGTCTGAAGCCAACCCAGTCAGAAAAGCTGGAGAAACTATTTTCAATTAACCACCATAAAGCCAGATATGGAAGTATGGCTTAAATGGTAGAGTGCTAGCCTTCAAAAAAAATGTTTAGGGACACTCAGGCCCTGAGTTCAAGCTGCAGCAAAAATACCTACTTCAAAGAGTAGTGATGAGGAAGAGGTGCTTCTAAAACTGACTGGCCTAACTTAGGTACACTGGACAATTGGGAAAGTGTAATTAGGAGCAACAGAAGGTAGCCACAAGAAGAGGTGCTTCTGGCAGCTGTAAAATGGGGGTAGTGGGAGGGAAGGGAGGGAATAGATTCCAGAGATATTTAAGCTATTTAAACCTAAGGGTTAGGTATGATTTCATTAGCAGGGCAGACAGAAGAAAGGAGGAGTGTAAAAATATTATGAATATTGGAAGGTGATGAGCAAGTTCCTGCTGAGAGAGGTTGTGCAAGAAAATGAGAAATACTTAGATCCAGATTGTAGGAGAAGGTCAAGGCTGAAACTGTTACTTTTTTTCTTAAGATTTTTCTGATAGTACATATAAGCTGTAAAAAGGTGTTTCATTGTGACATATCTACCCTTGTATACAATGTATCCTGATCAATCTCACCCCTCTATCTCTCTCGATTATCCTCTTTTGCTTTCTTAAAACAATTTCAACAGCTTTCATTGTTCTAGTTTTATGTATTTGTATAAAGTAGTGGTTCATTCCTGTAATGCTAGCTACTCAGGAAACTGAGACCTGGCAATCGAGGTTTGAAGCCAGCCCAGGCAGACAAATCTGAGAGACTCTTATCTCCAGCTAACCAGCAAAAAGTCAAAAGCAGAGCTGTGCTTCTAGTGTAGAAGGCTAGCCTCAAATGGAAAAAGCCAAGTAAGAGTGCAAGGTCCTGAGTTCACTGGCACAAAAATAAATTTTAAAAAAGTACCTGGCTCCTATTCATGCTTCTTCATTCTTTCCATTCCCCCTTCCCCATCTCATTGATACCCACCACACCATTAGAGCCTGTTTTACTCTGTGTGTGTGTGTGTGTGTGACTCCTAGGGCTTGAACTCAGGACCTGGACACTATCTCTGAGCTTTTTCCATTCAAGGCTAGCACTCTACCAATGTAGCCACAGCTTCACTTCTGGCTTTTTGGTGGTTAATTGAGGAGTCTCAAGAACTTTCCTGCTCTGGCTGACTTTGAACTACTATTCTCAGATCTCAGCCTCCTGAGTAGATAGGATTACAGGCATGAGCCACCAATGCCCAGCTAATGTTTTGTTTTGTTTTAAAATAATTACAGAAACAGTAAAGGGCTACGGAATGGCTCCTTACTGGGATCAAAGGCCAACTTCACTATTTATTTGGTGACCAACCCTGAGCAGGATGCCTAACTCTGAGCTACCCAATAGAACTTTATACCACAAGGGAAGTTGTTATATTTATGCTTGTCACGGTGCTAGCCATTATTCCATGTGACTATTGGATCTTTGCTATGCCCTGAGCATGAAACTGCATTTTAATGTATATATATTTAACTTTACGTAATTTTAATTTAAATAGCTGCATGTGACTCAGTGGCTATCATATTAGCCAACACAGCTTGAAACTCTCTGGTCTACAGGGAACAATCCCTCATCAGCTCGTCATAATGATTGAGAGACACTTGGAGAAAACACTCCGCAGAGTAATTTCACAAATTATTAATGTGGCTGTCAAAACTGTTCATTGTCATAACTGAGCAGGAGTAGCACGAGATAAGCTGTGTCTTAGGAAGATTAATTGATTGTAGGATTCAGGTTAGATGTGATGGGAAAAGAAACTTGTAGGGGGGAAATTAGTCCTAAGATGTCTTTTTCTTTGTTTGTACTGAGACTGGAGAGCGCTGAACTAAGGGCCTGGACACTATCCCTGAGATTTTCTGCTCAAGGCTAGTGCTCTGTCTCTTGAGCCACATCTCCACTTTCGGCTGGTGGTTCATGAGAGCTACAATTCTCACAGACTTACCTGCCTGGGCTGGTTTTGAACCATGATCCTCAGATCTCAGGCTCCTGAGTGGCTAGGATTACAAGCACCAGTCACTGGCACCTGGCTAAAGTCATTTTTGAATTAGGTGCCACCAGGTCAGAACTCCTGCCTGCAGATATCCATTCTCCTAAGAAATTCCTTCCTTACCCTTACTCCCCCAAAAGGCACATTCTGGGCTTCCTTTTCCTCCTGTGGTTCTAGGTCAAAGCTCCACCCCCCGAGCTGTCTTCCAGCCGAGATGTTGGGCATGTCAAGACTTCTCGCCTTACTCCTAACCAGAAAGACTTCGAATGTCCTCTGTGCCATGTCTTCCTTTATTGTGATTCCCAATCCAAACCTAGGAGGAGTTTGTTATTCCCAAGTCTTCCCTTTTCTTTACCTTTTCCCCACTCATATAGTTCTTTTCCAAATCGAATTGGACCTGCCCTGTCCCCTCTCCCCATTCCTAGTACCATCCTTGACCAATCCCCATCGTCACCACTTAACTCCTAAGTGGTCTTCCTCTGCTCATTCCTTCCTCTCTGGTCCCTTCACCATCTGGGAGCTGGCCTGGGCCTCGTTTCTGCTAGGCAAGTGCTTTACTACTTGAGCCACAGCTCCAGCTCCTTTCTGTGTTGGTTATATTTGTGCCCAGGCTGGTCTGGCTTTGATTCGCCTTCTTGTGACAATTCTCTGTGACAATAGGGTTGACAAGCAGTCACCATTTCATTCAGCCATTGTACTTCCCCTATGGCTTGCATCACCATGTTCATCGCTATGGATTGTACTCAGGCTGGCTTTGAACCATGATCTCCCAACATCAGCCTCCCATGTAATTAGGATTACAGTCTTGAGCCACTGTACCTGGCTAACCTGATCTTTTTAT